ACTTGTGTTAAAAACAAAACAAAACAAAAACCCTGACAAATAGAACCAAAAAAGGCTATAAAGGGAGGATTCTCACATTTGTATGCCTGATAACAAAACTATTCACAAAAGACTTTTCAAAAACCACAATCTTGTGCAAAGACCATTGTAACCTTACTTTAAAAATACTGCCTAGCAAGCTCCTGTCCAATCTTGAACTGGGATCACCCTTGTTATTGATCTTTGTAGTGAAGAATAATCATTTCAAAACAATTGTGTCATCTTCCTCATAGTCCCTTTGTCTTCTTTTTCCTCCCTGAATATGCACATAGTTTATTTTCCTATGGCACTCATATTTTCATTGCAATTGCCCTGTTCCTGAATAAATATTTTATTTATTTAAGTTCACAGATTCATTCTTAGAATCTCCATCTCACTGCTTACATTATCCAGCTGTTCTTGCATATTGTGTACTTTTTCCATTAGATTCCTTAGCATATTACAGTTTTTTAAGGTTCTTATTTTGATAATTTCAACATTTGTGCCATATTGGACTCTGGTTCCAATACTTGTTTAGTCTCTTGAAACTGTATTTTTCATGTTTAGTATGCCTTATGTTATTTGTACTAAGTTGGTACTTGTTGAAAACATAGAAGATATACTGAGTAAAATGAACTGCATTAAATAGCTTTTATTAATGTATTTGGTAAGTTGTGAGGAGAGAGAAACACGTCTTATAGACCATTGATTAGCCCTCAGTCTTTTAGTGAGCCTATGTGCTTGAACTGTGAGCTTCACCGGTACTGGTCAGTTATTTCTCCCTTAGTTTAGACAGAATGGCTAGAGGGAACTGGAGTTGAGTATTTCCCTTTCATCATGTGGGACGTTAGATAGGGTTACAGTTGGTTACTCCCCTTTTCCCATATGAAAGACTAGAGGGGACTGTAGTTAGGTATTTCACGTTTCTTGCATGGAAGACTAGAGGGAACTGGAGTTGGATACTTATCGTTCCCCATTTAGAAGCCTAGAGCTGGCTGGAGTTGGGTATTTCCTTTCAGCCGGTTAGGTTAGGCTTTGATATGACCCCAGCAGATTAGGCTGTCATAAGAGTTTCTCCTGATGGCAGGCTTTGTTAAGAAGAACAGGTCTGTGGAGCATTAGCAATTCTATATCATTTTAGGCTTTGTTGAATATGCCAGAATGCTCTGGCATACTTCAAAACGGTTTCTTTTCTTTTCCCAGTGATGGAAGTATGAGGAGATTTTCTCCAGTATGCACACTGAGGACCTGGTAGATCTCTTAGAAGTAAAACTCATAAAAATTTTGAGAGCCTCCATGACTGGATCTCTGGAGTTTTTAATCTCTCCGACTTGTCCACATTGAACCTCCAGCAATTCATCAGTCATATTTCAAGTTTTCCTGAATATGCACTGCTTCGTGCAGAGGTTTCTGCTTGTGGGTTCGTGCTAGTAAATTGTGATTCTCTGTATCCTCCAATTTTGGGGCAGCAGTTTATTCTGTGACCTCACTTCACTGATGGATCTCAGAAGAATTGATGATTTTAGTTTTTTACTGGTTGTTAGGAGAGAATGAAGACTTTTAAGCTCCTTATGTGCTGAATGGGAAACTGGAAGTCCTAATATGCCTTTTTTTATTTTTTATTTTTTTGAGTTGGAGTCTCACTCTGTCGCCCAGACCGGAGTGCAGCGGCCCCTCCCGGCCACAGCAGCCTTGACCCGCTGGGCTCCGGCGATCCTTCCGCCTCACCTTCTGAGTAACCGGAATTACAGGCGCGCGCTACCACCTCCGGCTAATTTTTTGATTTATTATAGAGATGAGGTCTTGCCTGCCTAGGCGGGTCTCAAACCTGCGGGCTCAGGCAATCCACTCACCTCAGCCTCCCAAAGGCACGGGATTACAGGCTGAGCCACCAAGCCCAGCTCTAATATGCATATTTTAAGTCCCTATTTGATAGCTCAGTTTTCTGCATCTTCTGTTGATCCACTTTTATTTCCTATTATTTTCTTGGTTTTTGATCCCAGTTATCTTTTTTCCTGTATACCCCGTCACTTTTTCTTGAAAACTTTATAAAAATCTTAGAAATTATTTGAAGACTTGAATAAAGAGGTTTTCCTTCTAATAAGATTTACAATGGTTTTAGCGGATTGGTAGGGGGCGTTGGCAAGATTCTAGATCATCTTAATTCAGATAGTATTTGGGATGTGTCAGATTTGGGCCTTAGTTCCTAGTTGAATATCTAATTGTCTTCTATCTCCAGATCTCCTATTTCTCTTTTCCCAAAGCATGCTTCAAATTTTGTTATTCTACTTCATGAGCTTATCAAAAGCTATTCTCAGCTTCTTAGCCTCTTAATTCCTTCATCAGAGTTTCAGATACAAGCAGGGAAAAACATTGTAATATACCAGGCTCATCTCTCTGGGTTTCCTTCTTATACTGGTTTTTTAGACTTACAAATATTTTACTGCTCTGTTAGGTCTCTCATGTCTTTAAGCAGATTTTTTTAGTTGTCTCCTTCTTCTAGTTGATTTTAACAGGAGGTTTCTTTTTGAACTACCCAATCTCCCAGTTACCCTGCTATATTCAGTTTAGTGCCTTTGTACATGCTGTTCCTTCTGCTTGAAAAATTCTACTAACTCAGTCCCCAGCTCTTAGGTTATAAAACCTTTTCAATGCTGTGGGTCAGGTACTGAAGAGTTCATGTGCTTTTCACTGACAAGACTTCACTGACTGAGCTGGTCTTGTTATATCTCTCTCAACACTATCTACAATGTTTTCATTAACTTGTAGCTTGTAATTATATGTTCAAATATGTTTTTATTTTATTTAATGTTTTTCTTCTCAATAGAATTTAAGGTCTTTGGGAAGAAGGGCCAGATCTATTTTTTCTCATTATGGTCCCAAGTTGTGATCCAAAGGGAGTATTTAGTATTTTTTCATAGATTAAATATATAGAGAAGCCGGGCTTGGTGGCTCAGCCTGTAATCCCGTGCCTTGGGAGGCTGAGGTGAGTGGATTGCCTGAGCCCACAGGTTCGAGACCCGCCTGGGCAGCGAGACCTCATCTCTACAATAAATCAAAAATTAGCTGGGCGTGGTAGCGCATGCCTGTAGTTCCAGCTACTTGGAAGGCTGAGGCGGAAGGATCATCGGAGCCCAGCAGGGCGAGGCTGCGGTGGCTGGGAGCGGCCACTGCACTCCAGTCTGGGTGACAGAGTGAGACTCCAACTCAAAAAAAAAAAAAAAAAAATATATATATATATAGATAGATAGATAGATATATAGATAGATAGAAGGTTAAATGGCTGAGTTTTCCATTGGATGGAAATGTCAGAATTCTACTTCCTTAGGAAGTAGAAAGGGAATAGCTTATTTTTATACATTTATAATAAAATATTCCATATTTTTATAATTAATTATTAAGCATATTAAAATATAAAGAGTTGTGTAAATACAGTTGACCTGTGAATAACATGTGTTTGAACAACACAGGTCCATTTATATGTAGACTTTAAAAAATAAATATGTTGGAAACATTTCTGGAGATTTATGACAATTTGAGAAAATTCACAAATGAACCAGGAAGCCTAGAAATATTGAAAATGTTAAGAAGAAGATAGGCATATCATGAATGCATAAAATATATGTAGCAGCCGGGCTCGGTGGCTCAGCCTGTAATCCCGACCCTTGGGAGACTGAGGTGAGTGAATTGCCTGAGCCCATGGGTTCGAGACCCGCCTGGGCAACTTGGCGAGACTTCATCTCTACAATAAATAAAAAATTAGCCAGGCGTGGTAGCACGTGCCTATAGTTCCAGCTACTTGGAAGGCTGAGGCAGAAGGATCGCCGGAGCCCAGCAGGTCAAGCCTGCGGTGACGGGGAGTGGCCACTGCACTCCAGTCTGGGTGACAAAGTGACTCCAACTCAAAAATATATATATATATATAATATATATATGTAGCTACTAATCTATTTTATCATTTAAGCTGTAAACACATTTCTGTTATAAAAAGTTAAAGTTTGTCAAAACTTTCACACACAAACTATTACAGACCAATCACACCACCATTCACATTAAAGAGAAATGTAACAAATATGGATGCAGTACTAATCTTAACTGCATAAATTAACTATAATACATATTGTATGTGCTTACGTATTTATGGTAATAATTTTGTATCCACTTCCAGTTGCTATTGCGGTGAGCTCAAGTGTTGCAAGTATTTTTTTAAAACACCGTGTGACACTAATCATCTACATATTAACAGTTCCTCTCTCTAGTATAATTGTATATCACAGTAAAAAATATCTTTAATGGTTATCGCTTATTTTTCATCATGTTTAGTGAAATACCATAAACCTTGAATAACACCATGAGACCCATACAAAGTTTCACTAGTGATACTAGAAGTGCTCTCATGAAGCAAAGTGAAGACACTACAAGAAAAAGTTGGATTGTTCAATATGTACTGTAGATTGAAATCTATAGCTGCCATTGTCCACCATTTCAGACAAACAATTCATCTTGTACACAATGTAAACTTATGATATTGATAAATACTGTACTATAAATCTCTTTTTTCTTATGATTTTCTTAATAACATTTTCTTTACTCCAGCTTACTTTATTATAAGAATATAGAATATATTACATATAAAACACAAAATATTGTCAGTAGACTGTGTATTATCAGTAAATCATCCAGTAGGGTATTGGTAGTTATGGTTTTGAGAAGTCAAAAGTTATATGTGGTTTTTCAGTTGTGTTTGGTTGGTACCTCTAACCCCTGTGCTGTGTATATTTATATCTAGCTGTACTTACCACTCTGCTTAGGAAGTAGATTTAATTTGTTTTTATAAAAATATATATACTATACTAAGATATAAGTATCCATATAGTCTTCCCAGTGATTACTCTGGCCTTTAGATACTCCTAAGGTAAATTAACTAGTTTTTGTTTGTTATTAATTTGTTTATTTAAGGAAATTTTTCTTTATACTTTCAGATGATACAGCAGTATTCGAGTTGATACAACTAGTTCCACCAGGTATTGTATTATATATTGATAAGATAATTTACTTGCAAACTCATTCATTTTAATGACCTTTTTTTTTTTTAGTCTCATCTTTCCTCCTCTTCGGTAGTTAAGAACAGTGTTGAGTTTCTAACTTTAGTCCACTATATATAAAATGTCTATAGGTCAAAATAATGTATATAGAAAGATTGTCCCAAATAGTACTTGAACACATTGCCTTAAATTCAATAAACAGTAATAATTGAAGGTGGAAAATAACTTATCTTTCTATTTTGTGACTGTCATAAAAATTAAGTTTTACGTTTTGGTGATTTTTTTTGAAAACTATATTTTTATTGTTAGAGAAGTTTTTGTGTATTGCCTATTATTGGGGAGTAGAGAGGAATAAAACCTTATTTATGTAGTAAATATTACAGATCCCTGGAGAAGACAGAGTTAAAATATAGAGGTTACTTTTATTTCTAATATTGATTTCTGTGATTATAGATGATAGATGTATCTTAATCAAATTTTTATTTTATGTAAAAAATGGAGAGCTATATTTTATTAATAGCTATTAAATTTGAAAATTTAAGATATTACATGTATGTATATTTATAGCTAATTCAGATAGTTATAAATTCTAGAAAAATCTCAGTTATTTTTAACATAAAATATCTTGCAATGGTAGACAGACAAAAATGGGAGATAGAAAATAATCGTGGAGATGGTAATTGATATGTCAATGTCATATCATCTTTGCATTTTTTAAATAACTTTTTTTTCCTTCTAGGAATTTATAGGTACTTACTAAGTTTATATGAATATCTCTATTCTCCAGAAAGAGAGAGGGGAATTTACTAATATGTAGTATATTTCTGAAAAAGGAAATGTGTTAATTTATTTAACATATTTTTATTTTAATTTTCCTTTTATAGAAAATAAACATGACCTGAAGCAGGTATTTCAATAGGTCATCAGGCAACATATATATTACACTTGATGATTTTGTTTCTAAATAGAATGTTTTGTTATAATTTGAATCATAGGATATCTTTCTTGTAGTGGGTGAAACACTGTCTACATATGATGAAAATACACGAGATTTCATGTTCCCGGGTCCAAACCAAATGTCTGGACACCATGATTCAAACCGCCAGGTTACCATGAGGAGAATTTCAGGCCTTCGAGTAAGTGCTTACTATTTTCAGAGTCAGCTTTTGATGGACAATCATTATCAGAAACCACCACATAACCCTCAACACCTTAAAATGTGAAGAACTAATTTACATTTTAATTTGTTTTAAAACTTGTTTTGTAAAATTATGTTATTTAAGCATACTAAGTTATAAATAACTTAACAAAGCCCATACACGTACCATTCAGAATTAACAAGTGTTATTTTGCCTTGTATTCTTCCAATTTCTCTTTTCCCCTTCTTTCACTCCCTCCTGTCTCCCTCCTTCCTCTCTTTCTTTTTCTTTTTCTTTTTTTTTGAGTTGGAGTCTCACTCTGTTGCCCAGACTGGAGTGCAGTGGCCGCTTCCGGCCACCGCAGCCTCGACCTGCTGGGCTCTGGCGATCCTTCCGCCTCAGCCTTCCAAGTAGCTGGAATTACAGGTGCACACTACCACGCCCGGCTGATTTTTTGATTTATTGCAGAGATGAGGTCTCGTTGCCCCGGCGGGTCTCGAACCCACGGGCTCAGGCAATTCACTCACCTCAGCCTCCCAAAGGCGCGGGATTACAGGCTGAGCCACCGAGCCCGGCTCTCTCTTTATTTTTCAAAGGAAGGTTACAAACATTTGAAAAGATACTCAATCTTATTAGCATTTAGAAAAATCCAAATTAAAGCAACCATGTGATTTCATTTTTATAGCTATAGAGTTGGCAAAATTTATTTTATTTATTTTCAAAATGTGGGATACAATTCAGGGATTGTATACAAATGTTCATTATGCAGGTACCCTTGTTGATGAGGTGTCCCCCCCCCACTTCCCCAGAAAGATTCCTACTACTGCCAATCCCGCTTTTCTACTCCCCTTCAGGTAGTTTCCCACTACTACCAATCCTTTTCTTATAGTATTATGATAATTGTTCAAGGTCTGCTTATGAGTGAGAACATGTGATACTCAGTTCTTTGATTCTGTGAAAGATCACTCAGTATTATAGATTCTAAGTCCATCCAGGTTGCTGTAAAGTTCATGATTTTGTTCTTCTTTATGACTGCGTAATATTCCATCATGTATATGTAACACATGTTTTGAATCCAGTCCTCTTTTGATGGGCAGCACAGTTGGTTCCATGTTCTTGCTACTGTGAACAATGCTGTGATAAACATAAGTGTGCAGGTATCCTTTTTGTAGAATGATTTGAGTTCTTCTGGGTATATTCCCGGTAGAAGGATTGGAGGGTCATATGGAAGGTCAATTTTTAGATCTTTTAGGAATCATGAGTTGGCAAATTTAATAAATCTGACAATATCAAGAGTGTAAAAAATTGGAAACTCTTATGTGCTGCTATGCCATGTAAATTGGAACAATCACAATTCAGCATTATCTAGCAAAGGCAAAGATTCTTACAGCTCTGTATCTTTTTTTTTTTGAATGGGAGTCTCACTCTGCTGTCCAGCGATCGTTCCACCTCAGCCTTTCAAGTAGTCAGAACTACAGACGCATGCTACCACGCCTGGCTAATTGTTTTATTTATTGTAGAGATGAGGTCTCGCCATGTTGCCTGGGCTGGTCTTGAACCCATGGGCTCAGGCAGTCCACTCACCTTGGCCTCCCAAAGTGCTAAGATTACAGGCTGAGCCACCGAGCCCGGCCTATGTATCTTAAGGATGTATTCTCAGGTATCCTAATAGCCTTCTTAAGAATGTTCAATTGTAGTATAGTTCATTATAGTGAAAAATAGAAATAATTGAAATGTCTGTTAGTAGGAGTTTGGATAGATTAATTGTAAAATGTTTATGGAATGAAAATATATATTCATAACCTAAATTTAAAATCTACTTTAAGTGACAGCTTTCCCTGTGTCCTTTCCTTCAAGTTCTTTTGGATGATTTACAAATATTTTTATCCCTGAAAGCAATTTTTCCATGAAGAGAAGCTAACGCTGTCTCAAAAGAAGAAAAACAAAAGTGAAATTATTTGGACAAACTTTTTTTTCTAATTTTATAAAATGTTAGAGTGAGCCGGACTCCGTGGCTCAGCCTGTAATCCCGCGCCTTGGGAGGCTGAGGTGAGTGAATTGCCTGAGCCCGCAGGTTCAAGACCTGCCTAGGCAACTTGGTGAGACCTCATCTCTACAATAAATAAAAAAATTAGCCAGGTGTGGTAGTGCGCGCCTGTAATTCCAGCTACTTGGAAGGCTGAGGCTGAAGGATCGCCAGAGCCCAGCAGGTCAAGGCTGCGGTGGCCAGGAGTGGCCACTGCACTCCAGTCTGGGCGACAGAGTGAGACTCCAACTCAAAAAAAAAAAAAAATTGTTAGAGTAGTCTGACTAGGGAAAGTAGGTTGATATAGGACCCAATATACTGAATTAAGTAATTTCTCCTGTAGGTCTAGGTCTGCGATATGCTCTGTCCAAAGAAAAAGCAACTTCACTTTTCTGAAAGTATGCAAGTTGACTAACTACCAAGTCTGAGAAAATATTCCTCCTTTGGGATGTTTTCAGTGTCCATTGACCAGCTTCTGTACTATAAAAATCTTTAGAGTATTTCAAGAACTGTGTGGAAACATGCAATGAAAAAATAATCATACTTTTAAATTACGGTCACTTTATAATATAGCATTTTAACTTAAAATGCTGTATTTTACTAAGATGGCAATATAAACTCGAGTGTAGGTGATTAACAGGGATTTATCTTTCATCATTTAATTTGAGTTAGTTTTGTATATATTTGCAAGATGTTGGAATATTAAGGCAAAAAATATATAACAATTAAGATGTTTAGACATGGTAGCACGCGCCTGTAATTCCGGCTACTCGGAAGGCTGAGGCGGAAGGATCGCCGGAGCCCAGCAGGTCGAGGCTGCGGTGGCCGGGAGTGGCCACTGCACTCCCAGTCTGGGTGACAGAGTGAGACTCCAACTCAAAAAAAAAAAAAAGATGTTTAGAAATGGCAATGTGAAGTTGGCCGTTTGTTCCTCCACACAAAACAGATATAAAGCTGGATAGCATTGTCACAAACAACTTCAGGACACTGGGAACTGACTGACAAGACAAATCAAGAGGTTTTTATGCTTGAACAACTCCTAAAGCTTTGGGTAGTAATGGCAGGAATACGTAACCTTCTTGTCTGAGACGCTCCCATACTCTGCTTGCTAAGTGTGAATTGTAGCTTCACCAGCTTGGAGCTAGGTGAGCAATTCAGCAACTTTGCTATCAGAGCGGTCAGGATTAATTTGGGGCAGTGGGACAAATAGTGTGGCTTTACCAGCTAAATGTTGTGGATTCAGTTAGAAGTGGATGCAGAATCACCACAGATTTGCTAGTCTGATTGCAGTTCTAATTGGTGTGAACATCACACCTGCCTGAAAGTTGACAGGGAGATCCTGGAAGTAAGGGAACAATAAAAGGACTGAGTTAAGCTCTCCACCCATTCTTGGCTGAATGTGAAACTCTGTATGTCAAGGGAAGACAGCAAGAACCCAAAGTAAAAGCCAAGGGAGACTAGAGATCTGCTACAGCTTTGAATGATTCCCTGACCTATGCAAAGATAATCAGTGGAGTATGGTCACTTCACCTGGTTTGGAATCAGTTACCTTTATTAGTATCATGTACCCCCCCCCCCCGCCACTGCAGTGACCCACTACTGCCAGTCCCTTTCAAGTAGTATTATGATAAATGTTCAGTGTACACTTATGAGTGAGAACATGTGGTGCTCAGCTCTTTGCAAAACAACATTCTGACTACAATCTCATAAGAGAGGTCAAGCCAGAAACATGAAGCTCAACTTTTGCAAGATTCCTGACCCATTAGAAACTATGTAGCCACAAAAAAAAAAGAAATACCTTGGCATCTTCCTAACTAGAGATGTGAAAGACCTTTACAATGAAAATTACAAAACACTGCTCAAAGAAATCAAAGATGACACAACAGTGGAAAAATATCCCATGCTCATGGATTGTAGAATCAACATTGTGAAGATG